TGCCTCTGCCTGCTTCATTCTCAGAACTGGGGGGCGTGCAGAGTTACTAGATTTCTGCTGACAGGATGCACTAGGCAACCAACTAGACATCGGAAGATTTTGTGGGCTTCGATCAACGCAGTGCACGGAGGCAGCGGGCGGTGGCTCCTTCATGGTTGGCACTGGTAGCAATAACTTCAGAGGCACCGGGAGTGAGGCTTCACAATCCTGGGTAGTGGTTGGATTCCTGGCTCTGCCACTCCTAACTGCATGGCTGGTTACCTGTATGAAGCTGGTGAAATCGCTTCATAGCTCATGTCCTCTCCTATAAAACAAAGCTGATAAAAACAATGAGCTCACAGAATCGTTGCGAGGGTCATGCGTGTTTGCATGATGTAACACACATGAGAACAGCGCCTGGCAAAGACGACACTAGCTATTACATTCTTATTATTACTAGTGTGTAGTCAGTTATGTTACAGTTCATCTAGTCTTTTAGGAATGTCCTTCATAAAAAATAAATTAAAAATTATAGAATGTAGTCTGGTGGAATAGACTCTGCTTCATGTCGCTCGATCTATTGAAAAACATCCACTCATTCACTTATTTACTCAACAGATGAGACTGCTTCCTAGACACCCTGTCCGTTTCTAAATGGCACAGGGCATAGCACATAAGCGTGGTGAGTGTCTCCTTGCCTGAAGCATGTTACAGAAGTCTTGGAGACAGAGATGCGGGTGTTCCACTTTTCACGACTTCCCAGAGTCCGCACTGCACTTTGTTTTTAGCAGCCCGACAGCAGAGTTAATGGAATGCATTTTGAAATGAAAAACTTATTTATGAACGATGCTTCCTTGTGGCTAGCTGTGGACTCTGTGATGATGCACATGTTGTTTTGATGGTCCTAAATCTATATTCTGTCCCATGAAGAGTCCCGAGAACATGTGACTCAGGGAGAGGCGGGAAGATCTTAGCTTCGTAGAACTTGTGCAGTCAGCCTGCAGCCTGGGCTGGCTTCCCTCCCCCCCACTTACTCGAGGCCACCGCTGCCCACTGGCAGTCCTCCATGCCTAGAAACTGCCAACTCCCTTTAAATGGGGCCCAAAGAAGAAATAACCTTGAAAAACTATACTTGTATGAACAGCTGAAGCAAATCAACACATTCTGTGATCAAATAGAAATCCTGAGATTCCCTACAAGTTTCTAAACTTTTATAATTTTTCTTATTAAACCTCACAATTTATTGGCTGTTTGCTGTGTGAAGGGCATCTTTCTGGTGTGGAAGGCATGCAGTGGGCACAGGTGCTGTTCCCAGCGACCCTGGTCTGACAGGTGTGTGGCCGGGAGATGTACCTGAAAAACACAACAGGCCTGAGGGGGAAGACACCAAGAAGGAGTTCGTTAGAAGCAATACATATCACAGAAGTTTCAATAAGCTTCCTAAGTCTACTAACAAATATTTTTTAAAAATTAAGCTGACTATAATTATTTGAAAGGAAGATTCTTTTTAGCAACTTGTGTTATTATAATGAAGCATATTTAATTTTATATAAACTAATATCCACATTAAATACATAAAATGTCCACATTAGGAAATCATACACAATATTTTATTTTTTTACAACTTGATATTAAAAGTAAAGAAATTAATGGAAAGAAACTAAAAAATTTCTGTTTCTTGGTCCTATTAAAACATTTTCTGCAGGCAAGAAGGAAACCTGTTTACTCCCACCCCACACCTGGACCCTGACACATCACTTCAACTAACATGCTGTGCCAGGATTCTGTTCATCATCTGTGTAGCAGGCCCCAGAAGTGGTGCTCGGGGAAATACTTAATGATAATCGCCCAGGAAAGAAGTCTTTCCTAATGCCCCATCAGGAGGGAAGTTTTCAGTTATTGCACAATTACCAGGATGGGTGCTCTGCACAGAATCCTCAAGGAGCCTCTGAGTGGAATTCTGGTTCTAGAGCCAACCACAGAATGGGGGAAAAATCCCTTTGGAAATCTCTGATTTCCAGTCCAAAGAAATCTGGCACTGTCTTAGCAGAGTTGCTGATGTCTCAGGGGGCTGTTAGATGCAAAATAGGCTGCCTCCTCCCTATCTATTTTAAGGCGAAATCATAGTAATGGGTCATTCTGGGGAAAAAAAAAGATGCAGCTATTAATGTTGAGTTTCTTGAACACCATCAGAAAAGGAAATAGCCCGTTTGCTGAATGTCATTTCTCCTGTGGAATCTGATCGTCTGTTCTGCAAGGTGGTGGGAGAGACTCTGAAGCAGCCAGATACCTGTGATGCTGTGGAACGGTCTTTCAGAAAGCTGCCTGGTAGCTTCCGTGGAGGAGGGACTTCCGTGGAGGCTGGGGTGTCCTCTTTGCACGTGGAATTCAGCATCACCACCGCCTGACGTCATAGTGATGGATGGTCTTCTAACAACATTTGTGTGTCTGGCACCTCCTTTGCTGACTGTACGGTGAACAGGGACCCCTGACTTGGTCACTGGGTGCAGAGCCGGTTGTGTTGGTGAGTGGTTGGTAAGAGGCTCTCATGGTTCCATCACTGTGAGATTGCGTGGCTGTGCCATGGTCTCCAACCACCTGGGCTCTGCTACCCTGCTCTGTAATCCATGCCAGGGGTGGACAGGTTGATAGAACAGTGTAAAACCACACCTCTCCTGGAAGCGTCCCTCAAAAGGACACAATTTCATAACTTTTGTGTGTTGGGGAGTAAAAGTGATATAGTTAAGAACTCACGAGTCATGATTTGCAAGATAACTGAGTTTTATTCCTTCTCAGCTTGGCTGGAATAAGAATCAGGGTTCTATCTCGTGCAGGTGACCAGATAGCTTCGGCCAATTGATGACTTCAGACTGTATTTGTTTCATCATGGAAGTGTAGCTCTGCTTAATTGTAGTTACAACAAATTGTAGACTTGGTCTGGTTCTGTAGGGCGTTTCAAACATAAGAGTTCCAAACTTCAGCTTTTAAAATGTGTCCTATTCCAGGCCCCTGCTTCCAGTCTGTGGTGATCTCCACAAAGAGAACTCTCAGGGCTTAGGCTGCTGCACATTCTGATGAGAGTCTAGCCAGAGAAAGAACTCGGAAGTTCTGGGACCCTCTTCCAGGCCAAAAAATATATATAAAATAAAATACTATGTTAGTTGTCTAAGGTCCTTCATATTGTACAGAAGTGTTAATGAGCCAAATAAGAGCCAGTTCTCTGACTTTATTTCAGACATTGAGGTCCATTTGTATATTTGGATAAGATGTGTAAGTCTTTCTTAGTTTTTATCTAACTTTCCCCGGAATGACTCAGCGGGCTGAGAAAGCACCTCTGGAGTCTTGGGAAAATACCAGTGAACTTTGCTTATAAAATCTCTGCAGGTTTCCAGTTTGTCATCACATTCCGGTCGCTGTGGGCCGAGCTCATTTCCATTTCACTGGTCATCACGCCTTGTGGAAGCAGGATGGAGAGCGCTGAGCTAGCATCATGTCGGGGCTGGGGCACAGCTGAGTAAACACGTCAGCGCCTTCTGTCCCGCTCAGCATCGTCCGGGACCCACACACCTGAACTCAGAGTGTCAGCTCACTCTCTACATTTCTTAACACTGCGTTTCCAGGTGTCCCAGGACAGTGCCCTGCACATAGAGAAGACGCCAGAAAGTTATTGTTAAAGATTTCTGGAAAAGAGAGAGAGAGAGAGGAAAGATAGAACACAGTCTGGCTCTCCCCTTCCATTCATTCTAAGACCTTTTCAGGCTAGGGAGTCTCCATGAAGGTGTTGCCAATTTAGGAAAGCTACTTTATTACATTATTTTATAATTCATCTGCAGCTGCTCATGTCTGCCTTCCAAGTACTTCAGGGGTTTTTTGTTTTTTTTCCCCTGGATTTGGCTTTTCTTTGCTGCACGTGGGCTATTTGGAGAATTGCTTCTCTGAGGTTTTTCAGAGACGTAATTCCAAGAATAAGCAGTTAAACAGATTTCGGAGTTGAAGCCTCTGAGGCCAACTCCAGAGAAGTGTCCTCAGCACCTTTCTCCAAATATCAGTTGTAACTGAATTTGAGATAACTGACTGGGAAAGACTGCAGGAAACCTGTCCCATGTTAATAAAATTAATAAGATTGCATAGGCCAGCCATGCTTTCTCACTAAAAGTTCTTAATTTTACACATACATCTCATTAGGTTGAACACTCGAAACTGTTGACATTTGATGCTTTTGACCCACAAATGCAGCAATTTTGTAGGGTTCAATCCAATGTATTTAAAGGCCATTGCCTCAATTGGCCTGTCCTTCATAGGCCTCAAAATCAGGGGAGGAACTGTTTAAGTACCTAAATAACTCTGTATATCCTATTCACCAGACTCTCCAGCAGTCAAAAGTCACAATCCCCCTTCCCATCAAATCTGAATTCTAGAACCTGAAAGTTGTGGAGGGAAGTGGTGGACTCCACTGACACAAAATAACCCTATTGAAAAATGCACATTCCAACATCCTCTCTCTTTCTCCCATAAACAGGAACAAGAAGAGTATGGTGAAATGATATGGAAACACCTGACATTCCGGCAAAGGAAGTTGCAGAGGAAGGCTCTTGACTGATAAATGAGGCAGGCTCCTAACGTGGGCAGTCACTGTGTTTTTCTAACACACACCTGGCACGTGAACTATGGACTCCCCCCCAGGTGAACAGTGTGGATGCAGATACATCAGGAAAGCTGCTGATGCCAGGACACAGACCAATGTTCTCCAGCTGACCATTCATAAAGCTTAACTGCAAACAGAGAGTCACACAAAAAAGGAAAGCTCCCTGGGGTGGCTCTTTACAAAAAACGGAGTTAAAATCAAGGTTCTCGCGTTGTGACCGCAGCCTGGCTCAGATTTGTTGCTCCTCGGCAGCAGTGATGTGACGGAATGTAAATTGATAAACACTGACTCGCAGAAAGAAAGGGCATGCCTGGGTTTGGTGGAGGTACCCGATAGCTCAGTTCTGCAGAGAGGGAAGGACAGATAAAGCGGCAGCGGTGGCTCCAGGACTGACCTGTGCATTGACTAAAGCATCACCACCCGGCATGGGGACTAAGCCACAAAGACGTGGGCACGCAGCTAGCCGCTGGTAACGTTACTGCGGTTCAGAAGTTCAGAGGAGAGCGCATCGGGAGTTCACACCCTTCTTTGCAGGAGGGGAGAGTGGGAAGGGCGAGCGGGGAGCGGCGCGTGAACAAAAGCAGTGTGGACCCAGAAGTGAAATCTGATCGCGCGCCAGGAAAAACCCCAGAGGAAAGATCGACCTTGAGCGGCCGAGTCAGGGCGAAGTCATGGTGGGCTGCTGAGCGGGAGGCAGGCGCGGGGCGGCGGCGAGAGGAAGCGCTCCCATGGAGAACTCCGTGCCCCCCTGCGTCCTCTACCCAGGGGACGACCACGGCCGCGGAGCTGAGCCCGGGGATGCCTTTGCACATGGAGTGTGCGGCCAGGCCGGGGACCGGAGCGGCGCTCCCGAGGCTCCGGGAGAGGGCAGCCTGCAGCTGCCGGACGCGGCCGGGGGGGAGGGCGCCGCGTCCCCGGCGCAGACACCCTGCAGTCTCAGCGCGTCCCTGTGCTTCAGCTCCGGGGACGAGTCCCCGCCGCAGTCTCGCGCCTCAGCGGCGGAGGGCGCAGCGGCCTCCCCGCCCTCGTGTCGCAGCGGCCAGCGGGTGGTGGAGAGGCAGTGGGAGGTCAGTAGCGCGGGTGCCGGGTCCCCCGCGGAGTGCGCGTCCCCCGAAGAGCCCGTGTCCCCCGAGGAGCCCGCATCCCCGGAAGAGTCTGTCTCCCTGGAAGAGCCACAAGAGACCGTATCCCCCGAGGAGCGCGCGTCCCTGGAAGAGCCCGCGTTCCCCGAGGAGCGCGCATCACCGGAGGAGCCCGGCGACCCCGCGCCTGTCCCTCCCGGCGTAGGGCCCGAGCACGGGGAGCCCGACCTGGTCATCGAAGTGTCGGGCCGCCGGCTGCGGGCGCACAAGGCGGTGCTGGCGGCGCGCAGCGACTACTTCCGCGCGCGCGCGTCGCGGGACGTGCTGCGGGTGCAGGGCGTGGGCTGGGCGGCGCTGCGGCTGCTGCTGGCCTACGCGTACAGCGGGCGCATGGCGGGCGTGCGGCCCGACAACGTGGCCGAGGTGGTGGCCGGCGCGCGCCGCCTGCAGCTGCCCTGCGCCGCGCAGCGCGCCACCGACGCCGTGGCGCCGCAGCTGAGCCTGGCCAACTGCTACGAGGTGTTGAGCGCGGCCAAGCGGCAGCGGCTGGCCGAGCTGCGCGAGGCCGCCTACCGCTTCATGAGCGACCACTACCTGGAGGTGCTGCGCGAGCCCGCCGTCTTCGGGCGCCTGTCGGGGTCCGAGCGCGACCTGCTGCTGCGCCGCCGCCTGCGCGCCGGCCGGGC